CTGGTCTTCAGTTTGACCCTAAAACCCAGTCACTGGGGCTGTGTCCTGGGCAGCATCCTGTGGGGATGGGGAGTGGGTAGAGGAGCAGAGTGTCCAGTGGGCTTGGCGGGATTCTCCTCTAATGCTTGTCCGGCCCTGGTGTTGCAGGCCTCAATGTGGGCTGAGGAGGGGCAGCGAGTGTTGGCAGAGCTGGAGCAGGAACGCCCAGGGGTTGTGTTGCAGCAGCTGCAGCTGCACTGGACCAGGCACCCTGACTTGCCTCCTGCCCACTTCCGAAAGATGTGGGCTCTGGCCACGGGGCTGGGCTCAGAGGCCATCCGCCAGGAGTGCCGCTGGGCCTGGGCACGATGCCAGGACACCTGGCTAGCCCTGGACCAAAAGCTTGAGGCTTCACTGAAGCTACCACCGGTGGGCAGCACAGCTAGCCTGTGTGTCAGCCAGGTCCCCACTGCACCTGCCCATCCTCCCCTGAGGAAGGCCTACAGCTTCGATCGGAATCTGGGGCAGAGTCTCAGTGAACCTGCCCGCCACCGCCACCACGCGGCCACTATTGCTGCCTGCTGCAGACCAGAGGCTGGAGGAGGTGCCCCGCCCCAGGCATCCCCTACTGTGCCTCCACCGGGCAGCTCTGACCCCAGGAGCCCCAACAGGTATGGGTAGTAGGCAGGGTGGGGAGGGCAGTAGAGGAGAAATGTCTTGGGTCCTGACTCCCCATACCTGGTAGGCTACAGCTGGTGCTGGCAGAGATGGTGGCCACGGAGCGGGAGTATGTCCGGGCTCTAGAGTACACTATGGAGAACTATTTCCCCGAGCTGGATCGCCCTGATGTGCCCCAGGGCCTCCGTGGCCAGCGTGCCCACCTCTTTGGCAACCTGGAGAAGCTGCGGGACTTCCACTGCCACTTCTTCCTGCGTGAGCTGGAGGCTTGCACCCGGCACCCACCACGAGTGGCCTATGCCTTCCTGCGCCATGTAAGCCCAACAGGCCACATGGTATCAGCTCGTTCTGCCACAGTCCCCAAGTTGCTGCTGGGCACATACTTGGTGCCAGTCCCTGTGCTGGGTACAGCTATGAGCAAGACTGGCAAGCTTCTGCACCTGAGGGTGCTCTTAGTTCAGTGGAGGAGACATAGAAGCAAGAACCATACTTGTAAATTATAGTTGGGGCTAGGAGGAAAATAAGCAGAATAGATGCTTGTGAATTACAGGCGGGGCAGGGGTTCCACTTTAGAGGGCCTGAGTGCGGTGCCAGGACACCTGGTACAAGAGGAAGCCTTTGAGGGGCTGATATTTAAGCTGAGGAATAGGGGAGGGGCTGGAGTGAGTGTCCCACCCAGAGTGCAAGGTCGTGTGGAGGAAGGGGGCCTGCCAAGGGGGTGGCTGAGTGTAGTGAGCAGGACAGTCCCAAGTGAGGTGAGCTCTTAGAGCCATGGGAGGAGCAAAGCTAAAGGCAGGGGCTCAGTTCGAGGGCAAGGGGCTTCTTCCTCAGGGGCCTATGGGCACACGCCCCTCTGCCCAGTACTGTTCTCGCCAGATCACTCCTTGTTCAAAGCAGGGCAGATTGGGCCTGTAGGGAGAGGCCTTCCTGGGAGCCATATACTGGCATCTTGGTCCTCTCAAGCTGAGGGTGGTCTATCCTGTGCCAGCCTTAGGGAGCTGGCCCCTTTGCACTGGGGTTGAGCCACATGTCTTCGTAGAGGGTGCAGTTTGGGATGTACGCGCTCTACAGCAAGAATAAGCCTCGCTCTGATGCCCTGATGTCCAGCTATGGGCACACCTTCTTCAAGGTACGTGAACCTGAGACTAGGAAGAATAGGGGATGCGGGGAGTGCCCCCAAATCACTCAGTGGTCTCCCACCCGCCCACAGGACAAGCAGCAAGCTCTGGGGGACCACCTGGACCTGGCTTCCTACCTGCTAAAGCCCATCCAGCGCATGGGCAAGTATGCGCTGCTGCTGCAGGAGCTGGCACGGGCCTGCGGGGGCCCCACGCAAGAGCTCAGTGCGCTGAGGGAGGCCCAGAGCCTTGTGCACTTCCAGCTGCGGCACGGAAACGACCTGCTGGCCATGGATGCCATCCAGGGCTGTGATGTGAGTCATCCCAAGCTGTGATGGGCAAGGGCAGTGGGTGTGGAAGAAGAAGGCAGAAGAGGCCGGCCACCCACTGGCCCCCAACTCTGCAGGTTAACCTCAAGGAACAGGGGCAGCTGGTGCGACAGGATGAGTTTGTGGTGCGCACTGGGCGCCACAAGTCCGTGCGCCGCATCTTCCTTTTTGAGGAGCTGCTGCTCTTCAGCAAGCCTCGCCATGGGCCCACAGGGGTTGACACATTTGCCTATAAGCGCTCCTTCAAGGTAGGCCTGCCCACCCTGGCCCTGCCACTTATGTTCCCGACCCATGCCTTACCAAGCCCCTCTCTCCCCCCTGGCCACAGATGGCAGACCTTGGTCTCACTGAGTGCTGTGGGGACAGCAACCTGCGCTTCGAGATCTGGTTCCGCCGCCGCAAGGCCAGGGACACCTTTGTGCTTCAGGCCTCCAGCCTGGCCATCAAGCAGGCCTGGACGGCTGACATCTCCCGCCTACTTTGGAGGCAGGCCGTCCACAACAAGGGTGGGTCCCTGCCCCTCCTTCACCCCACACTCCCCTCGCTGGAGAGCTTACATTGACCCACAGGAGCCCAGGGACCTGGAAAAGCTTGGGAAGTGAGGAGGAGGCCCAGCGACAGCCACCAGTGCAGTAGAAAGGAATTCAAAGCCAGGCAGCCTTGCTGTCACTGCCTCTGACTTTGAATACAACATGAACTTCTCTGAGTATCAGGGGCATCATGGCTGTCTCTCTTTATTTTTGGAGACAGGGTCTCGCTCTGTTGCCCAGGATGGCGTGCAGTGGCATGATCTCTGCTCATTGTTGCCTCTGCCTCCTAAGCTCAAGCATTCTTCCCACCTAAGCCTCCCAAGTAGCTGAGACTACAGGCATGTGCCACCATGCCTAATTTTTAAAATTTTTTCATAGAGGTCTCATTATATTGCCCAGACTAATCTCAAACTCCTGGGCTCAAACAATCCTCCCACCTTGGCCTCCCAAAGTGTTGGGATTACAGGCATGAGCCACTGTGCCTGGCCAGGGGCCTCATCTTTAAAAGGGGAATATGGCACCTGCCCCACAGGATTGTTGGGAGGAGAGCACCTGGCACTAGAAAGGCTCAGCTCACAGGACAATTTAATGTGCTGGATGGAGGTGTTTGGGAAAGACTTATTTAGGGGGTGGTAGAGGCCCAAGGACAAGCTTATGTCCAGAAACGTCCCACTTATGTCCACTCTCCACCCAGAGGTGCGCATGGCTGAGATGGTGTCCATGGGTGTGGGGAACAAGGCCTTCCGAGACATTGCCCCCAGCGAGGAAGCCATCAACGACCGCACCATCAACTGTGTCCTGAAGTGCCGAGGTAGCAGGCAGGCTACAGGGTGTCGGGTAGGAGTAGGAAAGCTGTGCAGGAAGCACTGTGGCCTTCCGTCAGTGCTGACTCGCACTCTCCTTGGGATCTGGGGTCAGGCTAGGCTCTGGCCTGTCCCAGACTGACCCTCTCTCTTATGCAGAAGTTCGATCTCGGGCGTCCATTGCTGTGGCCCCGTTAGACTATGACAGCCTCTACCTAGGGGCCTCGAACTCCCTTCCTGGAGACCCTGCCTCTTGCTCTGTTCTGGGGTCCCTCAACCTGCACCTGTACAGAGACCCAGCTCTTCTGGGTCTCCACTGTCCCCGGTATGCCCCCAACTTCCTGGAGGAAGCAGCACTGGAGACTGAGGCAGAGCTGGGCGGCCAGCCCTCTTTGAGTATGTCTGGGCCCAGCCAGAGACAGGAGGGCATGGCTTGGGGTCTGGGGCCTTCCGTGCTGACAGCTCACCCAGTCTCCCTCCCTAGCTCCTGAGGACTCAGAGGTCTCATCCCAGTGCCCATCAGCCAGTGGCTCCAGTGGCTCTGACAGCAGCTGTGTGTCAGGGCAGGCCCTGGGTAGGGGCCTTGAGGACTTATCCTGTGTGAGTGCCATTTGCCCTTACCCACCAGCCCTTCCCCAGCCCAGGCTGGGCCTGTGACTGTGACCAGCCCCTCCCAGGACAGGGTAGCCCTTTACTTTGGGTAGAGCTTGGGGTGGGTGGGCCAGAGCCATTCCCCAGACACCCCCTGGGCCCAGAGTCAGGGAAGCAGGCATTCATGCCTGGCCTGGCCCTGCAGGTCTGAGCTCGGGACTGGACGAGCAGTAGATCCAGCAGCCTGCAGCTCCAAGGAACATTGCCTTTCTGGATCTGCTGTGACCAGGGTGTGGCGGACACCTGGGCCTCCTCCAACCTACGTGTGCAGCACTGTTGACTACCCTTTCTGATGTGTGTGGCCATCGGACTAACTGGCACGGGGCCTCTCTAGGGGAGTCTGGTTGTAGAGCCTGAATAGGCTCCTGGCCCCAGGACCCCTTCTCCTGTCCTTAGCTCCCATCCCAGTTGTGGGTTAAGAACAGGCTAGAGCAGACATTGGGTGTTGCCATGCTATAGGCTGGTGGGGGACCATGTGCCTCTGGGCAGTGACTAGGCTGCCCCCACCCCTCAGGAAGAACATAGGTGGGCTCCTAGCAGCTGATCCCCAATCCCTGGACTTAAAGCCGAGCTGTTACCATAGGGGCAGGTCCACCTCTACAGGGCCCTGATGCTTGCCTGTCCTGGCCCCCAGGCCCAGCCACTTCTTTACGGGGGCATTTTGGTTATTTTGACTTGATGCCTTTTGAATAACTTTCAACAGAGTTGTCTAAAATTATCTTACTGGTTGTTAGGCCTTTGGTGTCTCAGAGAAGGAGTCTAGGTCTTTGATGTGTGATTTACTGTTTTATTTGTTTATAATAAAAAATAGACTGATATGTACCCACTGATGGGCACATGCATTCTAGGGCTATCTCCAGTTAACATGAACCTTGGTGGGTGGGGCACAAGGGGCTGCATCTCTGGACACCCTAGTCCTCTTGTAGGTACTTTCCCAGGATGGAGTACGAGACAGACCTAGACAGGCCCCTCTGGATGAGCAGGTCCATGCAGCGGCCATATTTCCTGGCGAAGGGCAGTGTAAGCTGGAAGGAAAGGCCAGTCTTATCCCTGATTTCCTGGCCAGTTGCCTACTCTAGCTCCTTGTGGGTGGGGTTCTCCCATCGGGGCAGGGACAGGGCAAGCCCAGCTGTAGAGGACTTTTGATGCTCTATGGCCCAGCTCTGCCCAAGGGCATCTCACAGGGTGGGGCTAGAAATGGCTATCAGGGAACTAAGCAGAAAGACTGGAGGGTCAAAAACATGTTTCCTGCTACCAGTTTTCCACTTTCTAGCCACACATGCTGACTTCCCCTTTACAAACCACATATGAGCCAGATGCCTAATGGTAACTGGGTACTAGAGGGCTTATGGTGAAAGGTGTTATAATAATGCTCTTGATTATAGAAGTGTCAGATCAATGAGAAACTGCCTAAATCGTTTCCACCTCAATGTTAAAATTAGATTAAGGAATCAGAAAAGGAAAAAAAAAAAACAACAACAAAAAAACCTTTGATCATTCCTTTGCCCTTACTGAACATTTTCTTTTTCTTTGTAAAGAATGCTTAAAAGTAGTTTAAATATGAAAGGAATGTACACAAATGGTGACATCATGGCCAGATAGGTGAAGCTGCTATCACTGGTTGAAAAGGCCTGACTCCCATATGAGTCAAAGCTTGGGCTCGTATGATATGTGTACCTAAGTGTGGCCAGGGTTGTTAGTGATGAAGGCAGTTGGTATCATTAGAGGAAAACTATAAAAACCGGTGACCTGAATACTGCTTTTGGACTACTCTGGATTGGTTAATTTCATCCAGTTTCTCCCTCCCTGGGAGCAGTGGCCTAAGATGCCTGTCTAGCTTTCTGGGCAGTACTGACCCAGCCCTGGTGCAGCAAGACACATGTCCATCTGAGGCATCCACAGGGTCAGTGGATTTCCAGGGGTTGCAAGTGACCCTCACCTCCACCCAGCTGTACAGGCGCTCCTGGGTGTGCCGGTCGTCCTTGAAGCCGGTGATGGCCAGCAAATCTACCACAAACTGCTTGGGGCTGATGTGCAGGGTCTGCCAGGAGAGCCCACGATCAGGCAGGGCTAGGGCAGCTCCTAGCCCCGCAAGAGTGAGATGCAGAGCAGTGACTTCTCTGGGCCTGCAGAGCCACAGAGGTAGGGGGCAGGCACTGTCACTGCAAATCTGCCTCTTGGCTGAGGCTCAGTCCAGGTGCAACTGCTCTGCTTGCCCGTCCCTGCCTGTCCCACCACTCTTCTGGTCCTGGCCTACTCCTTAACCCCATCTTGGCTTACTTCCTCTTGCCTTGCGCCACTTACTGTGGGACAGGGGAAGAGGTGAGAAGGTACAGGGTGCCCCAGCGCCTGGGGCCTATCACACATACCCACAACTGGTTGGCCAGGGAGACCACCTTGGCTGTGATGGCTTTGGGGTCCTTTTGCCTGATGGAATCCAGGATGATGTCAGCCAGGAAGCAGTGACATTTCTGTGCATAAAACATCTCTTCCCAGGACAGAGAGAAACTCAGGAAAGTCACTTCTGTGGAGGAGGGAAAGTAGATGTGGCCACATCTGTCAAAATAGGGCCTTAGAGACAGTGTGAGGAGGGGGAGAGGGGTAGGGCCCCCCAGGGGCCACTGTCTCTGCCTGAAATAACCTGGGAGGGGGCTCAGGCATCCTCACGAGGAGGCGCAGGGCTCGGCCTGGTTTCAGAGCCTCACCTTGGGGCTGGGGGCTGGCTGTGGGTGGTGTATGCCTGAGGTTGTCCATATGCGTGGTGTAGATGATGCTGTCCTCAAAGAACATGCAGAAGCCATCGTTGCCCACCACAGGGGGGTGAGTCACTTTGAGGATAACCCCTAGGCTGTCCACCTCACTGGCCTCAGGCAGAGGCTGCTCAGGGGCAGGGATTTCTGTGAAAACAATATAGGGAGGGGCTCTCCTTTTTAAAAAAATTATTATTATTTTTTGAAATAGAGTTTTGCTCTTGTTGCCCAGGCTGGAGTACAATGGCACAATCTTGGCTCACTGCAACCTCTGCCTCCCAGGTCCAGGCAATTCTCCTGCCTCAGCCTGCTGAGTAGCTGGGATTACAGGCGTGTGCCACCATGCCTGGCTAATTTTTGTATTTTTAGAAGAGATGGGGTTTTACCATGTTGGCCAGAACTCTTGAACTCTTGAACTCAGGTGATCCACCCGCCTCAGCCTCCCAAAGTGCTGGGATTACAGGCGTGAGCTACCACACCCAGGCTTTTAAAATTCTTTTCTTCAATTACCATCAAATCTACCTAAGCAGGGGCTCTCCTTAAGCCACCTCAGAGCCCAAGGAGGGAGGGGACCTCTGGTGACAGGACAGTACAATCAAGTTACCCCAGCCTTGCAACAGCTGCCATCTCTAGTTTCTCAGAAGTGACACCCTGGGCTGGCAGGGGCCTGTCTGGCCTCTCCTCTCTTCATTGCCCTGGCATCACTGCAAGTCAAATCCTGAACATTTTGGAACTCCAAGAAACTCCAGATTCCTCTGTTGAACTAAGACGTCTCAAATGGAGTGGATAGTAACCCAGCTGAGGGCTAGAAATCTTTATAAAATTTTAAGTTGAGAGCTTTTGGGGCCAGCCTTTGATGCATGTCCAGAGAGTGGACATGCTTTGTCATCCCAAGCTTAACAGACCAACTTAGGGCTCACAGGCAAGAGTCCAAGAAGGCCCCTCCAAGCAGGGCTGGAGCCACTAATAGGGAAGGTGACAATACTGCAGGCAGGGCTTTGAGGGAGCAGAGGCAGCAGCCTGGCACAGCAATTCTCAGCACAGTTCCTTGGCCGCCTCCCCTTAGCTGGCTACACAAGCTATCCAGCTCAGTCCCTGTAGCCCCTGCTACCTCCTGGGCTTCTCCACCTGGATGTCCCTTGGCATTTCACACTTAGTGTGTGTCCTTCCCCAAGCTCTGCTCTTTCTCTTACTCACACCTCAGTAAGGGCCCATCCACCCCCTTGTAGTCCCACAGGCTAGAAACCTGGCTCGTCCTTGGCCCAACCCTCCTTCCGTCCCCTAGCTGCCTAGCCGCCTTCCCCTAGCCTAGAAAGAACTCCAAGTGGCTTCGAACACTTAGCTCCTGCTGCATTTCCTCTGCTCCTGGAGCAAACTTTCTGATGGGCACACCTGATCCCCGTGCTCTTGTCTAAAATCCTTCAGAGGCTGCTCACTCCTGTCCTGGTCAGAACGGAGTACCACATCCTGAAGCTGGCCCGCAAGCCCTGTCCTGATGACTTCTGTCTTCAGCCTCATCTTTTATCACATCTGCACGTGAAGCCTGGCCTCCAGCTAGACTCATGCCCTGCACTTCCAAACATCCTGGACTTCATCCTTCCCCTGCTGACTCCCCAGCCCTCAGCCTCTTTTGTGCTCCTGCTTCATAGGCACCCTCTTCCCACAGCGCTCATCCCTTCACCATATGTGTTCTCCTGGCCCCTCCAGCCATGCCAATGTGCCAGTCATTTCTGTGTCTGCTGCCTGGCACAGAGATGGCATTGGTGAGCAGGGGGGGTCTAGTCCTCCTTTGTCACTAACTTGCTCTGCCATCTTGGCCAAGGAGTTTGCCTTCTCTGTTGTGAATAAGACTTAGATCAAAGTGGGACAGGACTCACCTCTCTCCTTGGTCCTCTGCTTGCTCCAGTCCTTCAGGGTGATGGGTCTTTTTTGGGGGAAGTATGGCTTGAAGGTTGGCTCTGGCCCCTTGTCTTTCGGTCCAGCTCCAGCCCCTGCCTGTGGTCCTGGATCCTTGTCTGAGGCTGTGGAATGGACTTTCCAGGCAGCTGAGGGGCTGGGCTGGGAAGCAGCCTCACTTCCCAAGGGGAGCTGCAGGGTGGCCTCCTCCAAGGGGCTGCTCCGGGAGGCTGTCAGTGGCTGGAATTCCCACTGTTTGCAATTGACCATGTCCCATTCTCTCACCAGGGAGATGAGTTTTTGCATGGGAGTGGCGGGAGGGTCTTTGGTTTCAGATTTCTGTGTGAGGTTGATTGTGGTGCATTTCTTCTTTGGGGGGCTCTCAGGGTGGTTCCCCCAGTGTCCGGGGTTGGTACACAAGCCAGGGCAGTGTGAGTATGTGCTGGGGTTGCCAGCCCTCTTGGCATTTCGGCATAGGGACACCTGGATGGGCCGGGTGTACTGCTCAGCCTCCTCCATCTGGTTGGACCTGGCCAGGTTTCCCTTAGCCTTGTTCCATGGAACCCTGTCACTGCAGTCTTCAAAGTCCACAGGCATGTAGGCTGTGGTCTGGGGAGGGAAGGGCACAGTAACTCTGGATAGGTTGGGCATGGACATCAACACCTTGCCCAAGATCTAATAAGCTGGGCCTCCAGGACTTCACTTGCTCTCCCTGAACAATCTCATCCCTGACAGGGGTCACCCACTTGAGCTTTACTCAGGCTGAGTGGGGGTGGTACCAGCCCAGTGGCCTGTCATTCCAACAGGAGATTCAATCAGCATCGCAGGCCACAAGTGGCCAGTAAGTTCCTGTGCCTCCTTCACGGTTCAGAAACCAGGTTCTGTCCTAGGAATCCATGTAGGCCCTGCTCTTTCGTTTTACTGCATCCCTCAGTAGCTGAGCCTGCCCCCCTCCACCCTGAGCCTGGTGGTAGTGGTTTTTGAGGACAACAACAACCAGAGGAGGCTGGGGCTTACTTCTTTAGTGTCTCTACTGAACTCTGCCAGTGACCCTGGCCCTTCTGTCACCACGTGCAGCCTCCTGATGGGAAAAGCTTCTTCATTTTCAGATTCTTTCTCCTGAGTCCATGACCTGCAGAAAGAGGGGTGGGTTAGTGAGCAGAGACTTCCATCAGGCCATTGGCCAGTTGGTCAGATCTGCCCTTTGGCTGGGAGTTAATGCTAGACAGCAGAGAAGAAGGGGCTCTTAAAGAGTTTTGCCTAGGTCACTGGCCAATCCTGGGCCTGCTTCACTTCCTCAACCCCAAGGAGAACAGGATCCTCTAGGAGTGGGACTTAGGACAGGATTTCAAGAGGAATTTAAAGGACCAAATTCTAAACATAGAGTCGTGATAAAGTTTCCTTACTTGTATGCTTCACATTGTGCAAGGGCTTCTGAGAGGGATGGAATGTGGTATTCCTCCACCTCCTGGCAGAAGAGGGGCCATTCCCTACAAATGACAACGAGATGTCTGACTGGGCAGCTAGGGTGGGAGTGTGGGAGGGGGCATAAGCTCCTGGAGCTGCTGCTGCCGAAATAAAATAACCTCCTCCCTGAAGGCTGCAAATCAGGTCTCCTTTGTTGCTAAGGGAGGGGTCAGCCTTCATGATTTCATCTTACTGTGTCCTTGCTTCACTTACTTAAATTCAGATGGTAAAAAGAGTTTGCCAAGTCTCAGGAAGTTGAGAATGTGTCGGAACATCTGGCCATCCCCGTGGATGAGCAGGGTTTGTCCATATGTGATCCAGTACACTCTCTGAGGGTTGGACAGCAGTTCTGGATACTGGAGGGGGTTGGACACCAGACTCAGTCTCAGAGCCTCGGTCTTTGGGAAGGGACAGGCCAATCTTCTTTCACTCCCCTTTCCCAACTACACTAGAGCAGAAGCTTTGAGATTTCCATCTCCCTGTCTTGTCAGTCACAGGGAACTATGGTAGGGAGCAGAGCATCCAGGGAGAAGCACATCATCCCTGCTTCAACTTTTCATGGCCCCTAGACCACCCTCTCAAGGCATTTGGAAGCCCACCATACCTCCTTCTCAGTCCAGGCCCCTCAGAGCTGGCCCCCTCCCTACCCAAACTCCAGAGGGCCTTCCCAGCAGGCTGCTCGGTTCACTTGCGCTCTATTTGTTTTGTTTTTTGAGGCAGAGTTGCACTCCGTCACCCAGGTTGGAGTGCAGTGGGGCAACCTCGGCTCACTGCAACTTCCACCACCTGGGTTCAAGTGATTCTGGTGCCTCAGCCTCCCAAGTAGCTGGGATTACAGGCATGTGCCACCACACCCTGCTAATTTTTGTATTTTTAGTACAAATAGGGTTTCACCATGTTGGTCAGGCTGGTCTTGAACTCCTGACCTCGTGATCTGCCCACCTCAGCCTCCCAAAGTGCTGGGATTACAGGCATGAGCCACCGCGCCTTCCGGGAAAGTCTTTGTTCTAAGCAAGTGCTGGAAGCTGTGTGAGGGCCAGGTGATGGCCCCCAGAGCAGCTCAGGTGGTGATGCCAGATGGGGAGCAGGGCAGCCAAGGCTGGCAGTACCTTCAGCAGTGTCTGCAGGGTGGTTGCATACCAGTGGCTTCCAACATACACTTTGATGATCTGTTGTGGGGAATACACAGTGATCTCTGCTGTCCACTTATCTATGGGAATCAAGGAGATAGAACACATAATCATATGGCCAGAAGGGAAAGCAGGTAGGGCCCTTTGGTCATTAGTGTATTTCACGTTAAGTCTCAATATCTTTCCTCAGTCATATTGTGTTGCCTACTCTGAGAAGCAGCAGAAATCCCTGACATAAACCTTGCTTGCTGCAAGGTTTCCTGGGTGGTGAGGTGGGAAAGGGCACTGCCACTCTTCACCTGACCCTCCTCCCTCAGGAAAGCTGGGTTGATGACCCTGTCCACCTACAATGCCAACTGCCTCTGGTTTCTGGCTGGGTGTGTCCTGGGTGTGTAGCTTTTCATGTGGCCACTCAGACTGAAGCTAAGAATCTCCCTCTGTGTGTTTGTGTTTGTGGTTTGGCAAATGTCATGGAGCCTACTCCCATCAAATCCCTGTCACCTTTATGAGACTAAGCCTCTAGGCATGTCTGGAGAATGGGGGCTGTATGCTGGGAAGATGAACCCATGACCCTTTTCCTGGAGCTGACTATATGTAGGCCTTGTTCTGATGTTTGGGAAGCAGTTTCTAATGAGCTGTGTAATGAATGAAGGGTATATAACTAGATTATATAACCAAGAGGTAAGATGTATAGAACTAGACTGTGAACTCTAGGAAGACAGAGACTGTGTTGCTTACTTCTGTACCACCAATGTCTACTGCTGTCCTGGTATATGACCAGTACTCAATAAATGTTGAATGGTGCTAAATGATAGTAATACAGCTTAAACTTCGCCCCCCAGATTTTGGTAATAAGAAGTTATAGGCAGCTGGTGAAAACAACAGTAGCTTTGGACTCAGTCAAACCCCAGCTTGACCACTGTGTAACTTGAGCGAGTTTTCTTCTCTGAACCTATTTTTCAGCTATTAAATGGACCCAGGGACAGCTCTGTTTAACATCGAGGAGGCTCCTCCCTGCATGGCTATGAGAAGCACAGCAAGTCAGCTCCCAGGGTCAAGGCAGGCCTGCCTTGGGGGTCCTACATGGCTGCAGACTGGGTAACAGCCCTGTCTGCTGCTGGAGATGAATTGTGGGCTTGGAGGTGAGGACAGAGCACTTAACATTAAAGTTTCCCTTTCGTAAAAATCCAAAATATTGGCCTGGCTTTCCCCTCCTCCTCCATCTACAGTTCCTCGTCCTGGCCACCTCATCTATTCCCTCCAATCCCCCAGATACTCCCCTGATGCTAAATTCAAACCTAGAAGCTTTCTCACTTACTGAGCACATCCATGGGTGCCAAAGTCCTCGGCTCCAGATGAGTCTTCAAAGCCACTTTCATTGGCTCGTAGGTGATGTCCCTTTTGTCCAGGAAGGCACAGAGCTCGTATACCTCGGAAATGGTCTCTGTCAGGGGCAGCCGGCAAGTCCCCAGCCAGTTCCTACCCAGAGGAAAGGCGTGTTATGAAGAACATCAGCATTGCACCCCAATAGAGTAAAGCCTGTAAACTTTCCATGCCTAGGATGCCTTGCCACAACACTGGCTCCAATCAGGCATTATTCACATCATTTCCTTGTTTTTTGTTTTTTGGTTTTTTTTAAGACAGAGTCTCACTCTGTCGCCAGGCTGAAGTTCAGTGGCATGATCTCAGCTCACTGCAACCTTCACCTCCCAGGTTCAAGCGATTCTCCTGCCTCAGCGTCCAGAGTAGCTGGGACTACAGGCACCCAACACCACGTCCAGCTAATGTTTTTTTTGTGTGTGTATTTTTAATAGAGACAGGGTTTCTTTTTTTTTCTTTTTTTTTTTGTTTTTGTTTTTGAGATGGAGTCTTACTCTGTCACCCAGGCTGGAGTGCAGTGGCGCGATCTCGGCTCACTGCAAGCTCCGTCTCCCAGGTTCATGCCATTCTCCTGCCTCAGCCTCCTGAGTAGCTGGGACTACAGGTGCCCGCCACCACACCCGGCTAATTTTTTGTATTTATAGTAAGGACGGGGTTTTACCATGTTGGCCAGGATGGTCTCAATCTCTTGACCTCATGATCTGCCTGCCTTGGCCTCCCAAAGTGCTGGGATTACAGGTGTGAGCCACTGCGCCCGGCCCGTTTCCTTGTTTTAACTGGAAATCTGTCTAACCTTGTAGGAGAGTAAGTCTGGATAACAGGTCACATTTTTGGAACTGAACTTGACTTATTTCAGCAAATCCCTCTAAATGGACTAATTTCATGTCTCCAGGCCCTGTTTCAGGTTCCAGGGCCAGCCGAGGGCCCAGCCACTCCCTTCTTGCCCCATACGCATTTGCCCAAGACATCTCAGTCACTGTACCACAGCCTGCCACAGTCTTGGAAAAAGACTGGGGTCTGAACATCAACCCCCTTCTCCAAACTTTCCCTTTCAAGGCACCTGTCTTTGCCCTCTGTGACATCAGGGTGGACATCTCTGAAAGAAATGGACTTTATGGGCCAAAAGAGCCCAAAACAACAATATTGGGAAAAGACAGCATTCAGGGTCAGCTGACCCTCTCACAGGGGCTCCAGAAAACCCACTTCTACCTTAAATTTTGGTACCAGACTATTTTGCGACCCTCAAGAGAGTTGCACTGTTGTTCTGCACCTCAGTTTGCCCTTCCACAAAACAGGGTTGGATTCCTTGCCCCTGCACTGAAGACATCCTGAGCTCATCCCACAAGGCAAGGGCTGGGGACCAGCACCTCTGGGAAGCCTGGCCTGGCCTGGCCTGCCCTGCTTCTAAGGAGGGCTCACCCCTGGCTATGGCCATTCTGTGTGTCCAGTGAGCCTCCCAAGAGTGGCAGAGGACCTTTGTAGAGGGGTCTGCACAGGGAGGTACCCAGCTCCCTGAGGGTGTGACTGTGGCCTGGTCACCTCAGACCTAGCACAGGGCTAGAACCAGGGAAATGGACTGCAGAGGACAGAAAGAGGAAATGGTCTGAAGCCTTTGAACCTTAGCAACCCTCGTACCTTGGCACCAGCCCTCTCCTTTGAGGCCCTAACCTGGTGGTAGTTTGGTGGTGCTGGTGATGGGAATGGCTAAAATGATGGGCTGGCCCCAAGGACACACTTCCTCTCTGGCTAGTGGGAAAGGCCCCAGTTTATTCTGAGAGGGAAGGGCAGAGCCAAGCGTGATGGGACTCAGCGTGCCCTAAGGAGGGCCTCACTTGACATGCCGAAAGAGGACGCCGTTCCCTGTGATGTACAGTCGGCTTCCGTCTAGCGTGCTCTCGATGCGAAGCTGGCCCAGCGCAGAGTCCGGGTACTTGACCAGCAGACCCAGGGCCATCGTGTAGAGCGGCTTCACAGACTCCAGGCTGACTGTGCGGGCCCCCTTCCCGGGGCTCAGGGGAGGACAGGTGGTCCGGGAACAGCCACCTGTGTCAAGGAAAAGGGTGTATAGAACTAGACTGTGAACTCTAGGAAGGTATGGTCTTCCTAGACCCCCATGGTCATAGCTGGATTGGAGGCTTTGGGGCTCGGTTCCTACTGCTACATCCATTATACCAAGGAGGCTCAGAGGGAGGATATTTCCTTGCACAGTCCAAGTCGAGATCTTCTCAAAATCAGTATAATTTTTTTGTATACTCAGGCTTAGAAATCATAACTATTTGTTGGAAGGTGAGTTGGGAGTGGGGGGATTCATTTGCTGTATCACTAGCATCTGAATTTCCTAAGTTTCAGGAAAGCAGCCATCTGGCCCCAGCCTCTGCAGGAGTCTTCATTAGTCCCAAGCTCTACTGTAACCATCCAAGGGTAAGGAACGGCAACCATAGCCTGGAAACTCAATGTGTGTTATAGGCTTCCTGGATTCACAGCCCCTATTGCTGGCTCTCCTGGGCAGAATTTCCCCCAGAGACATACCTTGTGGCATTATTTTCAGGGTGGGTATTTGGGTTGCTGGTTTATGGGTGGGACCTTTTCTCCTACAGTGAGCCCAGGGTACAGTCCAGAGAATACAGTTATCACAGCCTTCAGGACCCTGCTGCCGTGGCAACAATGTGCCAGTGGGCACACTGCTGGGGGATGTTCGTGGATCATCTCCAATCCTCAGAGCAACCCTACAAGAGGGGGTAGTGCTATCATCATTTCATGTTGAAGAAGCTGCCCTGAGAGGCTAATGAAGTATCTTGCCCTAAACTGCAAAGCTAGGCAGAGGCAGGGCTAGGATTTGAGGTCAGCTCTGTCCAGCACCAAGGTTACCACAGCTGTTTCCCTTATTGTGATGTTAAAGCCACCTTTTGTGTTTGAGGAGTGCTGCCAGCTTCCAGAGCCTGGATGTCAACACAATTCCTCCATCTTTGCATTGCTCTGTGGAGCATCTGTGTTCTCTGAGGAATAGAAGGCTTTGAGGGAAGGGGCTGAACTCACACTGCCTTAAGTGGATTCTAAGGCCCTAGGACAGGGTCCTGAGACCTGCTGCAGCATGCCACTCCCCACAGAGGGTGGGTTTCTTTTTTGAGAAGGAGTCTTGCTCTGTCACCCAGGCTTGAGTACAGTGGCATGATCTCAGTTCACTGCAGCCTCCTCCTCCCAGGTTCAAGCAATTCTCCTGCCTCAGCCTTCCAAGTAGCTGGGATTACAGGGACACACCACCATGCCCGGCTAATTTTTGTATTTTAGTAGAGATGGATTTTCACCATGTTGGCCTGGCTGGTCTTGAACTCCTGACCTCAAGTGATCTGCTTGCCTTGGCCTCTCAAAGTGCTGGGATTACAGGCATGAGCCACCAGCACCTGGTCAAGAGGATGGGTTTCTATTTGTCTGGGAGAAGGCTGGGAAATCTATGCCTGAAGATAAGGAAAGGCTTGATTGCCATGGGATAAATGTCTGGTGATGCCCAGGCCAAATTTCCCATGCGCAGTGCAGTTCTACACATTCTCAGGATGGTGGCTGAAGCCATGCTTAGGTGGCTGGTGCCCTATAACATGCACAGTAGCTTCCATGGAGGCGGAGTTGGGAAATGGAATGATGAACGGCCCTGAGGAAACCATGAGGAGAAGAACAAGCTGGAATGAGGTAGGGCTGGGAGCATGAAGGCCTGGGCTGGACAGGGGTCAGCAAGTGTCAGGAATAGGCAGAAACAGGCACAGCAGCCGGGGGTTTCCAGGTGAGGTGATGAGGGAATTTGGAGGCAGGTGAGATGCGTGAAGCACTGAGCATTTCCCACACCTCCAACCATACCTGGAAGAGGAAGGATGGGAGTGACTGGTGGGTGCTCCTAGTCCCCACCACTTTCACAAGCAGGGCAAACCTCCCCTACCCCTGAGAAGCCTGCTCTCAGGTCCGAGACATTCCAGCCTGGCTCCCCACCCAGGCTGGGCTCCTTCTGATCCAGGCTGGGCTGGGCTTCCTACAACCCTGGCTGGTTGTCCACTCCCTACCCTCAGTGGGAAGGCTGAGCCGGCAGAGCAGCATGCAGGATTTCAGGCTGTGAATCCTCTTCTTGGATTCAGAGTCAGCCAGAAGACCCACTTCTCTCACTAACCCCCAAAGCCCGAAGTGGTTGTGGAAGGGGAGATTGTTCTTGGCTTTTCCAGGTCAAACCAAGACTATCAAGGGGAGGCCAAAGTTTCCTGGCGACATACCCATGTTCATCCGGTACCACCTTATGGCTTCAGTGAGTGCAGGGATTTCCAGAATTTCCACTTCTGCTTCTAATACATCAATGTTGGAGAAATTATCCGGTAGTAAAATCTTCTGTGAGCGAAGAAAATTCACTTGAAAAACAAAGGGGAACACAGTGAGTTAATGAGGCTATTTCTGGTTTAACTGCAGGTCCTGGTTTTGGCAGATTTCTGGTGCTGTAACTTATCCTAGGTTCTCCTTGTTCTGAAACAACTTCTCAACATACCTGATTAGATTAGCTTTGAGTGTGTGGTTTTCAAGGTGAAAGACCCCACATTACTTTGTTTTCCTGTGTCTGAGGCCATGGGTGTGGCCTCCCGTGGCTTGGCCTGGGGCTCCCAAGCCAGGCCCTCCTGGTGGGCACACTGGCCCTGAGACTTACCCTGCGAGTCTTGACCCAAGAGCAGGTCATTCCAAAAGAGGGAGTTGTCTTGCTGCTTAGAGAGGAGGGGCCCGGCCGAGCCTGGGCTGGTGGGTGGCACTTGCAGTTTGTCCCTGCCTGGACTGCAGTATGGGAGGCAGAGATGGAGCCAACGCTAATGTCCTGTGTGAATCAACTTGGAGATACAGAAGCACATCACAGACAACTTTCTAGGTGACTATGAATATGAATGACTGGGGTTCCAGGCATTTGGGCTCCTAGTGTAACTTGAATGTTTACTGCCCTATCTATCTAGATAGCAGTAGCATCTTGGGGTCAAAGAGGTCATTCAGTTCGCATCCCAAACAGAGCTCATCCTGGGGCAGTAGGGGGAGAGAGCCTCTCTGTCAAAGGTGGAAAATCTCAGCCTTCCTTAGGCCACTACCTCAAGTGGACAATTCTGCTATGACTCTGAGGGAACCTGTCACTATCCACCCTCCTTCCCTTTTATTCTGAGTTTGCTGACATTAAGAGCAGGTAGCACCATCCTTTGAAACAATCTGGATTCCTCATTTTATGGTGAGAGGAACTGAGGCCTGGAGGCCAGCTGGATACATAAGGGCAGAGTAAGAAGAGAAGCCGACTGGCAACCAGCTGAGCTCCCTGCCCTTCACACCAACTCCTGTGGTCCCTGACACTTTCCAGTGCCCTTTTACAGCCAGGCCATCCCAAAACAAATAGGGAATAAAATAGCCCTGAGTCTAGCGAGATTCTAATGCTGGAATCTGCTTGCCTCCTGGAAGGCTCTGTCATGCTTCCACCATCTCTACCCAGGGAAGCTCCTGAGGCCCTGAGCTCCAAGCTGGGCCTCTGTGGGACATGTAATGGGGAGGGGTGAATGGGCCCTATCAGCCCAGCCCCCACCCCACCCCTGGACAGAGCAATCACCAATGAAGCGGAACTCGCTGCACTCGCACTCGATGAGGGCCACCGTCTCAGCCAGCCACAGCAGGTTGTCTTCAGTCACTAGGCTGGGATACTTGGCCACCAGGTCTAGGGGCAGGAAGCAGTAGTGCACCTCCTCTTCTGTGTCTAACAGGGGTGTGTCCATGAGCCCCAGAGGTGCCTTATCATGTAGGCCTGGAAGAGAACATGTAGGCAGTGTCGCTACCTCCCAGAAGCCAGGGGATCTGATTCCAGCAGGGCTTTCACTGACCCAGGGGCCCCAGAGGATGCTAGAGAGACTACCCAGGAGATGGTCCTTGCCACTTGCCAGACACATCTTCCTTCTTTCTCTTTTCAGTTGTAGCCCTAAGATTTGGAAGGCATGTGGTAGGAAGTGGGGCATGGAAGTCTATTTTTTTTTTTCTTTTCTTTTTTGAGAAGGAGTCTCACTCTGTTGCCCAGGCTGGAGTACAGTGGCACCATCTCGGCTTACTGCAACCTCTGTCTCTCACATTCAACTGGTTCTCCTGCTTCAGCCTCCCAAGTAGCTGGGACTACAGGCATGTGCCACTACACCCAGATAATTTTTGTATTTTTAGTACAGACAGGGTTTCACCATGTTGTCAGGCTGGTCTCGAACTCCTGACCTCACGTGATCCGTCTGCCTCGGCCTCCCAAAGTGCTGGGTTACAGGCATGAGCCACCGTGCCCAGCTGGAAATCTTTTTTTTTTTTCTCTATAAACAGTGAAGGGCAGTGGGACATGTGACATTTCGACTTATGTACCCAAAGTCATTAAATTCATTTACCCATTTGATCCTTTCTAACTGATCAAACCAAACACAGTGATCCACAGACAAAATAGATACTTTTGACACTCCTGGAAGCTAAAATCCATTAATAATCATAAATGTTTTGTACTCATGTCTCAGATAGGCTGAACCATGCTGCCAGGCACCTATCAAACAATGATCATTTGGGGACATTCTGTGTGTGATGATTGGAGGAAACTCGAAAGAATGGTGGCATTCCCTGATGAATAGGAGGGAGTGGAATGAAGCCTTGCCTTGCCCATGTGAAGCCAGAATGCAGAGGAGTGAGTGTGGAGGAGGATGTTGGTTCCAGCAGGCAAGCAGCCATGGAGAGGGCCTGTGGCAGGGCAGAAGATAAAAGGAGATGACAGAGACTGCCCCAGAAATCAGGCACTCTCTGCTCTCTGGATGGAAGCCATTTCTGTTAGGGTATGGAGAGGGAAAGTTGGTGTGGGCTTTAGGGAGGGCCAGTCTATCCCAATTTACCTGTAAAGGCTGGGCTTTTGATTGGAAATTCTGAGGGTTTGCTAATACACTTCCATGTACGCCAATAGTTCAGAGATGCTCTCTCAGCAACAGGTATGTCTGCAGGCCGCACGCGTAGATGGTGTTTCCCTTCCTTCAGATTATCTAGAGTCTGTTAGATAAAGAAGAGTACTATCTTGAGAATCTAAACCAAGTAACTATCTACCAATTCTAGTGTGACGATCAGGAAAAACAGTATGTGACTTACTTTGGTTTTCTTCTTTTTTTTTTTGAGACAGAGTGTCGTTTTGTTGCCCAGGCTGAAGTGCAGTTGTGTGATCTCAGCTCACTGCAACCTCCACCTCCTGGGTTCAAGCGATTCTCCTGCCTCAGCCTCTCGAGTAGCTGGGATTACAGGCACCTGCCACCATGCCCGGCTAATTTTTCTCTTTTTTTTTCTTTTTTTTTTTTTTTTTGTATTTTTAATAGAGACGGAGTTTCACCATGTTGGCCAGGCTGGTCTTGAACTCCTGATCTCAGGTGATCCATCTGCCTCGGCCTCCGAAAGTTTTGAGATTACAGGCATGAACCACCGTGCCCAGTGACTTACTTTAACTGTTTTGAAATAAATTAGGCAATCACACACACAAAAAATGTAAAAATGTAGGGCTATAGGGTGACATGCTGATATTCAAAGTCCCAATGATTATTTCTCTTCTGATTTTTGAAACAAGTTTTATTATACTTTTATGTTGAGTAATAGTAATTTATCTTGCACAATCTAAAGAGTAATTTCTATTTAATCATTAAAAACTTGTTATTTTCTGCTATCATTTTCCTTCAAGTGCTCAAAACCACTTTTGACCTGTTATAATCGTGATTTGCTATTGTTTGTGTTCATCCTAACCCTGGGTAGTGATCTAAGTGGGGAGATTGAGGTATAATAAACATGTCTTATATTGCCACAGGGCTCCATATTTTTCAATGCACTTTGACACATGTTTGCTCATTTACCATGACATGACTCTGTGAGACAGATGTGGTTGGTGTCTTACTGATGAGGCAGCTGAGGTCAAAGGCTTTGCAGCCTGCCCAAGCAGTCTTCCAAGTCCAGAGCTTGTCAGCTTGAAGGATCAAGCGACCAGGGGTGGGCTGAAGCTGGAGTGGAGCACCCTAACTAGGCAAGCCTGAAGCTCAGGGCGGTCTTTGTGCCGCCCTTACCCAGGGACCCATTCTCCCTCAAAAGTCCTGCAGGGGGCAGATTATCATAACATCAGCCCTTTTTTTTTTTTTTTTTTTCCTGCCTTTACTCTAGAAGAAGATACATAGGATTTTCCCAGTAAATGTCTGGATATAGCAGGGCAAGTGGTACTTTAAAGGCACCAGGTCCTCATAATGGACAGATGCCCCAGATTCAGTCTGAAACTAACAAAAGTATCTGCCTCTAAATGCTGCTATGTCAATGAAGCCCTTGTGAAGTTGCTCTCAAAAATCCTGAGCATTGAGACTGGCCCTCTGGTGGCCAAGCTATAAACTGTGCCCGCATAATCACTTAAGGTCGATGCAAAAGAAGGTGGGCCAGAGTGGGAGAATCTTTCCCACTTTGGATGGTTGGAGGGTTTGCAAAAGCACTGGGCAATGGTGGGATCATGGGGAGTGCTTTCCTGTGGCAGTGAACAATGGGGGAGACAGTGTGTGTGTAGAACGCTGGAAGACAGTCTGTCATTCATTTGAGAAATACTCATTGTGCATCACCAGGGCCACAGTCAGACACTGTGCCTGCCCTCAAGAAGCTCTCAGCTTGGGAGAGAAGAAAGACATGAAAAACCACAATTTACGTATACTGAGATTAGAGCCAGTGTCCATTTACGAAGTTTCTGGACCTCCAGGAACCCTGGGATTTCTTTCCACAGCATTAGAAGGGAGTATTAGAGTCTCCCTCTGTCACCCAGGCTGGAGTGCAGTGGTGCAATCTAGGTTCACTGCAACCTCCGCCTCCTGGGTTCAAGTGATTTTCCTGCCTCAGCCTCCCAAGTACCTGGGATTACAGGTGCCTGCCACCATGCCCGGCTAATTTTTGGATTTCTAGTAGAGACGGGGTTTCACCATGTTGGCCAGGCTGGTCTCGAACTCCTGGTCTCAAATGATCCACCAACCTTGGCTGGTGCTGGGATTATAGGTGTGAGCCACTGCGCCCGGCCTGTCTCTCCATTTTCTCTCCTTTCCCCTAGTCCTGGTCCCCTAGCCCCCAGGTCCTCTCCACACAGTGATCTTTCAAACATATGAGGTGAGTCCAAATCACTCCTCATCTTAAAAAACTTTAGTGCTTCCTGTTGCTATGGGATAAATCCAGATTCTCCTTTGCATTGCACATAATGTCCTTCACAATCAATGGAGGGAGTAGGGTATACATGAAAAGCACAAGGGCTTTGAACTCAGCATATCTGGGGTAAATCCTGACTCTGTCACTTAAGAGCTAACATTTATTAGCCATGGACTTTTAAACTGAATCCTTCCAATCTTCCCCTGACAACAAACTAGGCTCTGGTATCATCACTCCCTTTGAGCACATGGGAAACTAGGTCCAGGAAGAGGTAGGGGACTAAGTGCACCAAGTAAGTGGAGATGCTAGGAACAAAACCCAGGACTCTGGAGCCCAAGCCCTTAGCGACTGTTTTCTTTTTATTGATATGTAATAGTTGTTCATATTTTTGGGGTACATGTAATATTTTGACACATGGATACAATGTATAATGATTAATTTAGGGTAATGAAGATATCCATCACGTCATTTTTTTTTTTTTTTTTTTTTTTTTTTGAGACAGAGTCTCACTCTATCACCTAGGCTGGAGTGCAGTGGCATGATCACAGTTCACTGCAGCCTCGACATACTGGGCTCAACTGATCCTCCCACCTTACCCTCCTGAGTAGCTGGGACCACAGGTGCACATCACGACACCCTACTATTTTTTTTTTTTTTTTTTTTTTGAGACAAGGTCTCACTCTGTTACCCAGGCTGGAGTGCAGTGGCACAATCTTGGCTCACTGCAACCTCCACCTCCCAGGTTCAGGTGATCCTCCCACCTCAGCCTCTGGAATAGCTGGGACCACAGGCATGCACCACCACACCTGGCTAATTTTTTTGTATTTTTAGTAGAGGTAGGGTTTCACCACATTGCCCTGGCTGGTCTCAAACTCCTGGACTCAAGTGATCTGCCTACCTCAGCCTCCTAAAGTACTGGGATTGCAGGCATGATCCACCACGCCCGGCCCACAGCCAGCTAATTTTTAAGTTTTTTTGTAAAGACAGGGCTTTGCCATGTTTTCCAGGCTGGTCTTAAACTCCTGGGCTTAAGCGATCCTCCCACATTGGCCTCCTGGGATTATAGGCATGAACCACTGGGACAGACCCATCACCTCAAACATTTATCTTTTCTTTGTAATAGAAACATTCCAATGATTTTCTTCTAGCTAGTTTGAAATATACAATATATTATTGTTAACTATAGTATTCCTAGCACACTACCAAATACAAGAGCTTATTCCTTTTATTTGACTGTATTGTACCCATTATTCAAATTCTTTTCATCCCCTTCCCTCCTCCTACTTCTCCCAGCCTCTGCTGCCTTCCACTTGTCATGCAACTTCTCCAAGCCTCAGGTTCCTCACAGGCAAAGTCGAGGCAGTAAAATCTGGAAGGTGTTGTAAGGATTAAATGAAACAGTATGTTAATTTCCTTTCTCTTGGAGGTCATATCCTAAATTTCCTTCCTCCCTCCCTCCCTCCCTCCTTTCCTTCCTTCTTTCCTTCTTTCTTTTCTTTTCTTTTTTTTTTTTTTTTTAATAGGGCCTTGCTGTGTCACCCACACTGGAGTGCAGTGGTACAATCATCATGGCTCATTGCAGCCTCGACCTCTTGGGCTTAAACAATCCTCCTGCCTCAACCTCCCAAGTAGCTGGATCACAGCTGTGCGCCACAACACCCCACTAACTTTTTGATATTTTGTAGAGATGAGGTCTTGCTATGTGGCCCAGGCTGGTCTCAAACTCGTTAGCTCAAGTGATCCTCCCACCTCGGCCTCCCAAAGTGTTGGGATTACAGGCATCAGCCACTGCACCCAGCCTAAATTACCTTTCCAGCCTCATCTCCCATCATTCTTTATGTTTACACCCCATCATCAGTGACACTAAACTCCACAAAACTCCAAAAACACATCACATTCTTTGACACCTCCCTAGCTTTGTGTACGCTATTCCATCTGCCCAGAATACTCCTCCCCATTCTGTTCCTGAAGAGGCTGGAACCTTTCTGAGCCAGAATGGGTCATCCTCCCACTTTGTTCCCATAGACACCCAACACTTTCACTTCTCTCTGCAGGCCTCTGGCTTAGTTTCAGGCCAGTTCTTCCCCCTATACCAAGCTTCCTGGGGAGAGGCTGGTTTGATGCATCCCCATTTTGTATTCTAGAACCTAGCATGCATATGAAAGAATGCATGAAAATGGAGGGCTAGCCAGGTGCGGTGGCTCACACCTGTAATCCCAGTACTTTGGGAGGCCGAGCTGGGCAGATCACTTGAGGTCAGGAGTTTGAGACAAGCCTGGCCAACATGGTGAAACCCTGTCTCTACTAAATATACAAAAAATTAGCCAGGCTTGGTGGTGCATGCCTGTAGTCCCAGCTACTCTAGAGGCTGAGGCAATCATTTGAACCTGGGAGGCAGAGGTTGCAGTGAGCTGAGATCACGCCACTGCACTCAAGCCTGGGAGACAGAGCGAGACTCCAGCTCAAAAAATAAATAAATAAATAAATAAATAAATAAATAAATAAAAGGAAAAGGAAGGGCTGGAGGGCTGATTTTCTGCAAAGAAAAGCAAAAAGAGACATGGGAGATCTCCAAAGGAACGAACAGAGTAGACTGCACTCATAAAACTGAGAAAGATGGAAAGATGTTGAGTATCCAAAACCACAGGAAAAACCAGCACAAGATTTCAATGGGCAGAGCCTATGGAGTTCAGAGGACAATGAAGACAGGGATTCCACCTTGGAATCTGGAGGCCAGAGGGAAGACCTAAGCGGGAGAGGGACAGGGATGAAGGAGAGGGAGAGAGGATGGCAAGAAGAAAGAGTTCAGCTTAGGTCTGATTTGTGATGGACAGAAAGACAGTAGGTGA